CCCCCCCTGGACGTGCCTGGCTCTGAATCCCACCCCCACGGTGGGCACTGAGGGGGTGCAGCCACACTTCACACCCCTCAGCTCAGCCTTGTGGAAAAAAAAGGAAGAGATTGAAGGGCTTCCTCCACGGACACGTCCCCCCGGGCGTGGGGGGGGGGAGCCCCAGGCAGGTGCTGGAGGCAGCTTTTCGCTAACGGCCTATTTATTAATTAGCACTAAGGTATTAACATCTCAACGATCAGTATTAGGGCCCCCGTGCCCTGCTCCGTGGGATCCAGCCCTTCCTCCGACTCCCAGTTCCTTGGACAATCCCACTGAGACCCCCGACCCCCCCAACGTTGAGCAGGGCAACGTGCTGGAGAGGAAAGTTGGGACTTGCCAAGATCCAGTTTTGCTTCCAGCTGAACTTCCCCGGGCTCGATGCATCGCTATGTTAATTGTAAAATTTATTGTATAGTGTTTAACCACTGAATCCTTTTTTTTTTTTCCTTTTACGTTGTGCTTACGTGAACCACTGGTGAAGGTCCTGGTTTGGATATTTTTTTTCCCCTCCTTGGATAATGTGTAGTTATATGATAATCTGTTTTTAAATGTACAGATATTTTGCTACAAAAAAAAAAAATCGGTGCCGTTTTTTATGGTTTTTACACTTTTATCCCCCCACTTTAGCCTCCTCTGGGTAATATTGTAAATATTGTTTAAAAACAAAAAAAACACACACACACAAAAAAAAGCCCCTCAGCCCGTGCTATACAATCTGAATGTTATTTTAACTTATAGTTTTTTGGTTTTATATTTAACTTGAACGGACAGTTTGGGGCTCAGAGTTGCCACGTGGACCCTCTGCTTCCCTAGTGACAGGAGGTTTCTGTTAGAACCCCCTAAGGAGAACATGCCACTTCCCCCCCCCCTTTTACAAGGGGGGGTTAATCAGCATCAGAAAATTGGGCAATTAATTTAATAACCCCTCCTCTTAGACAAATGCTCCCAAGCACTCAGCTTTCACTTCAGCTTACAGGTTATTTTTTTAATTGAAGGCCAAAATTACACAAATAGGAAATAACAAGGCTGGCATGTTCTCTTTAATATTTTTCTAGTTCCTAGACCTGCTTCTTAGCCATAGTAGGAGTGTTTTATAAAAAGCAGTTCAATGTTACTTTCCTGGTCTGTTCCTGGCATAAGATCAAATAAACTATTTACACTACTACACAGTCAGTCAGAGGAGGGTTTTTTTTGGGTCACTTTCTCTGCCCCTCTCCCCCAACCAACGGTGGCATTTTGGAGGTGGCCACCTGGAGTCTGCATAGGAAGCCCTGAGTTTGGGGGGGCTTGTGGTGTTTAGTTTTAAACCCACTCTGGTTTCCAACTGGGTCACCCAGTTCCAGCCACCCCCCTGCCCGGGACACCTCCCTCTAGAGCAACTTGGTCAAAGCTCCTGGGCTGGTTGAACCTGAACTGAAATCTTTCAAACTTGTTCAGGGGGGTGAAAGCAGCACCCAGCAGCTCCCCCTCCTCTCCCTGCACAGCACAGTGAAACCAAGAAATAAATACTAGCACACAGGAGAAGACAAGGTTTAATCATCGATAAAAATGTACAAAAATACTCCCCCCCAGGGAGGTTTCCACAGCAGCTGCTGCTGGAGGAACCTCCCCGAGCTCAGCCCAGGCTGGTGGGGAGGAGAGCCAGGGGTCCAGGGGCTCCCCCCACCCTCCAGGGGCTGTTCCCCAGGGGGAAGGGGGCTGTACATTCTGCAGAGGGTGCTTAAGGCAACGCAAGGAGGGCAGCAGAGAGGTTGGTTTTTATTTGTACAGGGGAGGAGGAAGAGAAAAGGCTGGGGAGGGGGGTTGAGGGAGGAGGAGAGGGGGGCAGGAGGCAGCAGCCTTGGGAATCTGTGAGAATTCACCCTAAAAATCCCATCTGGGAGTGCTGAGCCTGAGGCAGGAAGGGCTTCCTAGGGGTTGGGGTGGGCTCTTGGCCAGCAGCCCAGAGCTACTCCAGCACCTGCTTCTGCTGGGTTTCAGTACCAATCAAGAAACAGATTCCTGACTCCCCTTTCCAAAATAAAAAGAAATCCATAAAACAATTGAGCCACGAGAAAACTAGGTTAAGAATCTCTTCCTAAAAAAAAGAGGAAGGAGCTGGGCAGGAGAGGCAGCATTACTACCCTTCTAGGGAGGAGACACTTGGCTAAAAAGGTGCCAGCAGGGCCCCAGAGAGGAGCTGGGGAGCAGGGAAGGCTCCGTGCCCAGGATTTCCTTCAGTTCTCTAGGTGGGATGCCAGGCCTGCACTAACTGGACTGGAAGGTTTGGATGGGGTCAGATAAACCCCCCCACGGTGGTTTCGACCCTGGAACTCAGGATATTGGAGCCCACGTCCTGAATTAGACATTGGTTTCTTTTATTATGCCACAATGTAAACATATTTGGTATAAATAATGTTCTCATTGATCTTCATCCAGTTGTTCCAAAAGAGTCCTCCTCTGTTTTTCCAGCTCCCCCTCGCTCAGTTCGCTCCCAGAAGTGTCCCAGTTCCCCTGCAGAGAGAAGGGAGGGCAGTGGTGAGCATCATTTTGGGGTCCTCCTGCTCCAGCACACCCAACATCCTCCACAGAAGCTGCTGCTGATCATTTACCACGTAATTGGGTTTTTCAAAGGTGGGTAGAGGCTAAAAGCAGCTTGTTTTAAGAGTGTAACATGAGAAGAAGACATCTGCCCTTCCATCTCCTCTCAGAAGGTAGAACACAGAGGGTGTCATCCAGGAGGACACCACCACAGCAAGGCAGGTAACTGCCACCTGAAGAGACCCCAAAAAAAGGCTGAACTGAAAGTTTGTGTTCCTCTGAAGAGCCCCATCCTGAGAGCCTCTCCCCAGCCCATCTCTGCACCTCTGGATCAGCCACGGCCATGCTCCAGCCCAGGGAGCACAAAGATTTTGGAGCTCCCACCAAGATCTCCCAGTGCCAGCCGAGCACCCGCCCAGCACCACAACTGGAGGACAGGCACCAGACACCCAACTGCCCACACTGCCTCTCTCCCTCTCTTTTGGCCAAACTGATCCATTTGGGCAGGCAAGAAGCTCAGCAGTCAGCCAGGAGCTCCCCTGTTCCCTGGGCAGGGACCTGGGGGGTCTGAGCTCTGCGGGAGCATTTGGCCCTTTCTTGGTACAGAAAAGGAGCTGGAGCAGGAAGCAAGTGTGGGCAGCTCACTTCAGGCACCACCACAGGGCTCTGGTGACATCCCGTGGACACAGAGCCCCAAGCTCCTGAGGAGGAGGAAACAGGGACTTACAGAATCCTTCCCAGGCCGTTTCTTAGTGGGAGATTTATGTTTGGATTCAGATCTCTGTCGGGCTCTGTCCTTTTCACTCTCTCTCTCCCTTTCCTTCTTGTCTTTTTCTCGTTCAATGTCTGATTCGGGTGAGTCCTGTGTAAATAAAGGGGAAAAGATGAAATACTAAATCTTGTAGAGCTAATTAAGCACTGCAGAAATGAGCAAGGGTTTTGCAGTACTCGAGTGCT